ACTGAACAAAAAAGTCCGTTTTGAGCGGTGAGGGGAGTCTATCTTAAATGCTTCTGATTGGCCATTGCGTTCAAGAAATCAACACATATGTCTGTGCTTGGCTACATCGCTCAACGCTGTAACCATGTTATGAATAGAAACTCTGGCCTGTAAATCGTTTCTATTTTGTTGTAGTTGTTCTTGTTGCTTTTCTGCAAGAGATGAATAAAAATCTATTAGTTTTTATGTTTTATTTATAGATATTTCTAGTTTGCGGGAGTCCCGCGAATCGTTTTATTCTCCCGCACCCGCACACACAGAGTGATTGCATTACCGCCCGCGCGCGCGCTCGGCCATCAGATCTATGATGCGTCTTCAGATGTTTAATTAGATTGCTGGTGTTAAACGATGTAGCCTACTTTCTTTCCCTCCTCTCGACACCTTAGCTGAACATAACTTACAGTCTGCCTTGCTGTTGTCATCATCCCTTTTCTTGAAATGAGCCCAAACCGCCGACATTATAATTTCCTATGCCTCAGTTTACCTCGACAAAGCACTCGCGGCGGCCAGTTTCGTTTTGCAAAATGTAGCTACGTGGTATCGGTGCGTGGTATCGGCGAATTTTTATGAGTACGAGTACGAGTATATGAGGACAGTATCGGCCCGATCCCCGATGCCAGTATCGGTATCGGGCCATCCCTAGTTATCATGGTATCTATCCTCGGTAAAAAGCCGTATAAAGCTCCTAGATCACTTATAATTTTACACAGCTTGTGTTGTCTGGAGTTTTTTGTCAACTCAAATTTCTTGGAAAGATATTTTTGCAGTGTTTCGTCAGCAGAACAATCCAAAAACACATTAAATAACAGTACAACCCACTAAAGAGATGTATTTCTATCCCTCACAGCCTTGCTGTCATTCCCGTTAAAAATCAAAGATGGCTCTGCTGTGATTGTGAATAAGGTCTATTTCAGTCATTCAAGTACAGCTCCTATCTCTTTGAATGGGGAAACATCAAGTTCTCCAAACCTGTTCACTGATTGGCTTTTTTATTTAGAAGGTGGGACTTATTCCGCCATATTGCTCATTGCACTTTCTTTCTCCTATTCATGGGGTGCCAAGTGTCTTTGTATGTCTAAAGTCTTTGGTCAAATTCAAATTATATTGCCTAAGCATAGAATTATGTACTTTCTGTAACTAATATTTATTACTTGTCTAAAGCCTCACACACCATTACTCCTTTATGTGCACAATTAATCGCATCTGAAGTAATCAACTCTAAAAGAAATCACAATGTAGACCAAAGACCAAAATGTGGCTTTATAGACCTCTTGTTGTAATGAGATTACTGCTTTTAATGTTCAACCTTCATATGTGTTTAATATGTCCATAGCAGTTTATTGTTGCCTCTTGTTGAATCAAGTAAAGTGCTGCTCTGTGATAGATCCTAAATCAGAGTTTTCATCTTCTGTTAGGCTTTTATTTGAAGATCACGACAGTGGGTTGTTTAGCGTCACACTCTTCAGGAAGGCTATTGATGACTTCAAACAAAAAGCACGAGAAAACAAGTGAGTGTCTGAACTCTCTGAATAATATATATCGATATATATATATATATATATATATATATATATATATATATATATATATATATATATATATAATTACCGTTAAGATTCTTAAATGTTTTTCAAAAGAAGTCTCTTATACTCACCAAGGCTGCATTTAGTTGGTCAAAAATAAAAAAATATTATTACAATTTTAAAAAGTCTTCACTCACATGATCCTTCAGAAATCTAATGTGCTGATTTGCTGCCCAAGAAACATTTCTTTTTATTATCAATGTTGAAAACAGTTGTGCTGCTTAATATGTTTAGGGGAAATCATGATACATTTTTCAGGATTCTTTGATGAATAGGAAATTCAAAAGAGCAGGATTTATTTGAAATAGATATATTTTGTAACATTATAATGGTCTTTACTGTTACTTTTATTCAGCAAAGACGCATTATTTGATCAAAAGTATGAAATTCTATAAAACATTTTTTTACTGACTTTTGAACGATAGTGTCTACTTATAATCAAAATGATTAAAATCCCAAATCTTGCTTTTGAACACAAACTTTTAATTTTTTCAGTTCTGTTGTCAGTTTTGTCATATTTCAAGAATCAATGTAAATATATCCCCAGATTATGTATGGAATACTGTTATAAGACTGCTATCAGTGCCTGTCGGTTTTTGATGCTCATTGAATCAGAGGGAAGCTGACCTGTTGCTACTGAATTTTTTTCAGGTTCGTGGTGCGTGACTTTCAGTACAATGAAGAGGAGATGAAAGCAGACAAAGAGGAGCTGACTCGCCTCTCCACTGACAAGAAAAAGCAGTTTGTATGCGTGCAGCTGTCTACATTTTATTCACTATTGAACATTATAAAATCATTCACAATAATGTTGATGAGGAACCTCAAAATCACAGCCAGCTTGAGAGGGCCAGAGCTTTGATTACTCTTCATTTGAAGTAACAGGAAAACGAAAAGATAAATGATGATAACAACAGGCAATCTGCTTCTGCACCTCAGGGTCCTTTGGTACGTTGGCTTAAAGTAAACTTCAGTGAGGCTTTCATCACATGGATACACATCAAGGCACTTCGGGTTTTTACAGAGTCTGTCTTGAGGTACAATGTGGGGTATAAAACTGTTTCTTATGGAGATGTAGATTGTCAGATATATGACCTCCATGTTTGTATTTAACAGGTATGGGCTGCCAGTCAATTTCCAGGCCATGTTGCTGCAGCCCGGCAAGAAGAATGTAAAGAAACTCAGAGAAGTTCTGCAGGACCTTTACAAACACTTGGACAGCAGTGCTACTGTTATTGATGTGAGTTACACTACCGTCAAAAGTTTGAAATAATTACTCATTTTTAGGTTTTTCAAATAAGTCTCTAATTTTTACCAAGGCTGCATTTATATGATAAAAAATACAGTCAAAACAGTAATATTATTACAGTTTAACATAACATTTTCATTTACACAAACATTTTCATTTATTCCTCCTGTGATGGCAAAGCTGAATTTTCAGCATCATTACATCATTATTTCAACATTTATTATTAATGTTAAAAACTGTTTTTCTGATACACTACCATTAAAAAAAATTGGAGTAAGAAGATTTTTTTTTAAAGAAGAAGAAAGGAATAGTTTTATTCAGGAAGGATTAAGCACTAATAACAATTGATAAAATTAAGAACCAAATCAGCATATTAGAACAGGTTCTGAAGGACTGGATTTATGGCTGCTGAAAATTCAGCTTTGACATCACAAGAATAAATTACATTTCAAAATATATTAAAATTAAAAACAGTTCTTTTAAATTGTAATATCTCACAATATTACTGTTTTACTGCATTTTGATCAAATAAATGCAGCTCTGGCGAGCATAAGAGACTTAAAAAAACATTTTTAAAAATCTTAATTATTGCAAACTTTTGAACGCTAGTGTACTTTCTACATGATCCACAGACCTAATTGAATATATCTCTAAATCACAGCTGATTTGTTCTTCTTTTTTTGTTGTGTTATAGGCATCTATGGACATCCCGGGTTTGAATCTCAGCCAGCAAGAGTATTATCCATACGTTTACTACAAGATCGACTGCAACCTCTTTGACTTCAAATAGAATTCAAATACATTGTTTAATTCTACTTCACAGAGACTGACTCTAATAATTTATTAAACACTTATTGTTTATTCTATCATTACCTTTTTAACCTTTCTGCTAGTACCTCCCTCTCACTGGCTCGTTCCTTTTTCATTCCTGCCTGCAGATCACTATAAGCAGTCACAGAGTTTTAGCATCTGTGTTATTGGTTTAATGTGTTTACAAATGAAGGATTTTCAGGGGTTTTAAAATCTGTCCTTAGATGGCATGTGCGGTCCAACATTGAACACTCCTCATTTACTGAGCCTATAATGGTTGTGCACTCTGTTTTTTTCTGTCGGTGCTTAGTTACTCTGTGCCATTTGCAGGTAATGCAGTAATTATGTTTAATTGTGTTATTGAGAACCACTATATTTGTTTTTGTCTGTGTTTGTGCTTCTACTGTGAGATTAAATGTATTTATATTTTTGTTGGAAACGGTGAAATACATGATCACATGCTGAATGTCAAGACCAATCAAAGTCAATAAAATTATAGCACATCATTATGCTTTTTTTTATAGTCAGAGGACAATTCAAATGACTATGCACTGTTACTCATATTATATATCCACATATCACACATACACACACACACACACACACACACACACACACACACACACACACACACACTATTTGGTTTTGATTTTTGATGGGGATATTCCATAGATATAATGGTTTTTATACTGTACAAATATTCTATCCCCTAACCTGACCCCTAAACCTACCCATCACAGAAAACAATTCTGCATTTTTACATTTTCAAAAGACTACTAAGTATGATTTATAAGCTGTTTTCCTCATGGGAAGCAGAAAATGTCCCCACAAGGACAATGATTTCAGATTTTGCCATCTTTGTGGCAATTTGTTTTAAAGAATTTGTTTTAAAGAACATTAAAAAAGTGTACTTAAGTACAGTAGGCTACTCAAGTAAATGTACTTTGTTCCTAACAAATTGCATAGCAACTCAAAGGAAAATGCATCGATAGGCTCAAGTTCAACATAAACAGTTATGAATATTTCGTTGGTTCTCTCTTGTTTTTGCGATATGTTCTTTCTTTGTATGACAGCCTAGCCAAAAAATGTGTCCGCACAATTTGGCGTGTTTCATTGAGTTATCACAACTAAAACAATTGACTAGCACAACTATAGCTACGCAAATTGCTAACAAAATCTTAATCACATTTTTAATAATTTGAATAAATGGTGAGGATGTCAATTTTTCTGGGCCGAACATTACTTGTTTTCGTACAAATCGCCACTACACTGTCTCACAATAAACTGTAGCCGGCCCTCGATGACGCAAGAGATGACAGATCTCAAGTTAGACAACTACAACACGAGGGCACAGCTGCGCGTGGGACCACAGCACACACTCGCGCGCTCTTCTGCATCATCATTAATAGCGCATGCATCGCTCCATCTTATCTCAAATTCTCAATGGGCTGCGGTGGGAGTCGAGCAGACGCTATTGAACCGCGATATCATGAGAGCTGGACCAGAGAAACCGAGTCGACGTGGCTTACCAACACTGATGCTGAAATCCCCAACGGCGTGACTTATAAGAACCGCGTCGTTCGTGGAGAATGTAGCCAGCTTATTAAAGGCAATGCAAAACTATCAGGTAGCCTATAATGCTGTTTTGCTGTTGTTGGTGAAAAGTAATATATAGGCTATATTTATAAATGCATGAGCTATGATTTAACTGCAAAACTCTTTAGCTTTAAGATACTATCTTCAGCATGCTCTGAAATCAAATCAAAGTTTGTTTGGCTTATTATTCTCTTTTGAAATATGATTTGAAATATGATAACCTAGAATGTTATCAGGCAAAGTCCAAGCTTACAGAAGTTTTTGTGAAATATGATTTCCACAGGTAGAGGTACAGAGGCCAGGTCTTGTGGAGACAGAGGCAGACGGATGGTTAATACAGGAACTCAATGTGGGAGGCAGGTTTTGACTTCCAGCACCTGCACAAACCATCAAAGGACATCCTGTGGCCATGAGGTTTGAGTCACTGCTTCAAAAAGCTAGCAGCTATTAATGAAACATTATGGTCTCGGATGTATAATTCTTCAAACTTTAGGGTTTTTGCCAATGTAGTGCACAGACAGCTGTGTCAATGTTTGAGTAACATTAAGTCTGTTTCCCAATCGATATGGTGACAGCTTGTTTGTGTTTTTACAGCAGATAAGTGACTCAAACCCGACAACACGTAAGGAGGGGACGTCTCATTCTGAGGGGGTTTCATCTGATGCTGCGTCTCACCCAGGGGAGCCAATGAGGGAAAAATCATCTTCGCCTGATGCGGAGGATACGCTCTGAAACCCAGAGGAGTTCAGCCCATGAGGATTACAGGCTGTATAAGAAATCATAAGCTGTCGAGAGAAATCGAGCTTCACAAGAGATGACATCTCATTAACGCTCGCTCATAGAAATATTACACTTTACTGAAGTTTTGTTGCTAAAATGGGTTAACAAGGTGCATCTGATCATTAGCATGCCAAATATAGATTTTAGTCTGCTGGCACCCTGATGTCCTCATAGGAGTTACTGAGCAAAGCAGCATATGTTCATATTATTGCATATATGAATTATTGCTCACAATGCACTGTGCAATTTTAATGCTAATGACACTGATTTTAAAGAACAGGCTACTAAATGCTTTATTGTCATGCTTAAATAATTGTTAAAAAAAATCAGTTGGTTAATATTATTTTTGGGTTATTCTGTTTTTGTAAATATGCATTTACTGGAAATTTTACAGTATTTATTTATTTATTTATTTATTTTATATTTAATAGTGATTCAGTATCATAGTAGTTTTATTTTAGAAATAAAGTTCTAAAGCTTTCTTTGGAGGATAACAACAGATCGATCGACCTTACTCACAGGCATTTTATACAACCAGCTATAAGTGCTGTAAAATAACCACTAGATGGAGCAGCTTATCTTATATGAACAGACTATTGCTGTGTTTTGGACATTTAGTGTAACATTAAAATGAAGTATTTAATATAGTTTATATAAAAAAGCTTTTTAAAAATGCGAGGCACTGTCTGTACATGGTTTTTGACAAATCTTAATGCTGCATCACCAAACTGATGACAAACATTGATAATTAGACAAACTAAAATAAGGAAGATCAGGGAGTTGTTTAAAAGTTGTTAACTTTATAGCCTACCTAAATGATGTCAAGTACAAAGAGCACTGTTGTTACATCTACCCCATTAATGGGCTGAGTTGTAATGGTTTTTTGCATGAACAGGTGAATTTAATTACCATATTAAATTCAAAATGATCATTATAACATCCATTATCACCATCATTTCACTTTAAAAAGTTGAAGTTCAACAGGTAACATATAGGAAACCTTTTTAAAATTCAAAACAATTCAAATAACAAATATATATATATATAATATGAAACATAATACTTGGAAACATCTAACACACCCTCACTCTCCAGGCTGAAGACTGTACCGAATTCGGTAGCACTTTATAATAACTGCATGCTATTAATCATTTGTTAAGCATGAGTAAACAGTTAATTCATCATTTATAAAGCATTAATATACATTAATAAGCAGTTTATAAATACAGCTATAAACACTTTTTTTCTTGATTTATAAGCATATCTATAATGCGTTTAATAATTGTATTTTCATACTTTGTTAATGATCAATTAATAATTTCTAAATGAAGTATAGCATTATTTATAAACCAGTTATTTAAGAGTTGTCAGTTATTCATAAGATCACTTAGAAAGTGTAACTAAATGTAGTAAATACAGGTAGTTATAAAGCATTTAGTAGTGGTCAGTTAACTATTTTGTGAGCTAATCTAAAGTGAGGACTATTCATGCCTTGTAAAGCATTTATAAAGGAGATTTAAAGGCTCATCAATCTTCTAAACAGTAAAATGTAACAAACACAACACAGTGATACAGAACTTTAGACATGAACAGTCCTCACTTTAGATGAGCTCACAAACATAGTTAACTGACCACTACTAAATGCTTTATAACTACCCGAATCAACCCTAAATTACAGCTTAAATACATGTTAATAAAGCATTTATTAACACACTAAGTAACCATCACTATATGTCTGAATAATAAGATGTATGAATGTACATTTAAATAGTTTATTAATCATTTACTTACACGTTCTAAGTAATCTTGTAAACCACTGAAAACTCTTAAATAACTGGTTTATAAAAAATGTAATTAATCATTTAGAAATAATAAATTGATCATTAATAAAGGATGAAAATACAATTATTAAATAAATTATAGATATGCTTGTAAATCAAGAAGAAAGCATTTATAGCTGTATTTATAAACTGCTTATTAATGTCTATTAATGCTTTATGAATGATGAATTAACCATGCTTAACTAATGATTATTAGCGTGTAGTTATTATAAAGTGTTTGTGACATTTCAGAACGACACTGGATGCAATTGCAAATAACGCTTTATTAAAGATCACAATGATAGGTTGGTCAGAACAGACACAAAGAGGGTCGAGACGGCACAACACAGATGGAACAGTGGCGCAGGGACCCAGGTGAGCTGATGGTGCAGGTGCCGGTGATAATCCTCCGTGAAGGTGCTCGGTGATCCCGTGGTGAGTATCCGTGACTGCTTGTGGAAGTCCCGTGAAGACAATCCAGAGAACACGTAACGAGATACACAATCCACACCGGGAACGACAGCACGAGGAACAGGAATACCACTCAGCGACGACGACACGAAGAACAGGAATCCACTCATACACAGGGGCACGAGGAACAGGAACACACCAGAGACGAACAATGATCTGACAACATGAGACACCAGTTACTGAGCATATAAAGCCACATACAAAGTGAAACCAGCTGGCGCTGCTGATCAGAAGTGATCAGTGACCACGCCCACACTAAACACACACACAGCACACAAGACGAGAGAGAGAAAGTTAATTGATCAAACGTGACAGTACCCCCTTCCCTAGGGACGCCTCCTGGCGTCCCCAGGACGCCTTACCTGTCGATTGAAATCATCGATCAGAGAGTGATCCAGGATGTCTCTAGCAGGTACCCAACTTCTCTCCTCCGGACCGTAACCCTCCCAATCCACCAGGTATTGAAATCCGCGTCCCCTCCTTCTCGAGTCCAGAATACGATTTACCGAATACGTTGGTTCCCCGTCTACGAGACGCGGCGGTGGGGGAACCGGGACTGGCGGATTAATACGTGCGTAAAACACCGGCTTAATTTTGGAAACATGGAAGGCGGGATGAATTCTCCTGTACGCCGGAGGAAGTTTGAGGCGGACTGTCACCGGACTAATGATCTTGGTGACAGGGAACGGGCCAATGAATTTGGGGGCAAGTTTATTAGATACGGATCGGAGAGGAATATTTTTCGTAGAAAGCCACACCTTTTGACCCACGACGTAAACGGGAGGCCTTGACCTGTGGCGATCGGCCTTAGCCTTGGTGCGCTTCCCCGCCTGGAGGAGAGTCTCACGGGCTCTATTCCAGGTGTGGTGGCACCTCTGGACAAACGCATGAGCGGAGGGGACCGCGACTTCGGATTCCATACTAGCAAAAACTGGTGGTTGGTAACCTAAACTACATTCAAACGGTGAGAGGCCCGTAGATGACACTGGTAACGAATTGTGGGCGTACTCCACCATAGGGAGTTGTTGGCTCCAGGAGGAAGGATTCTTGGAAACCAAACATCGCAACACTCTCTCCAAGTCTTGGTTGGCTCTCTCGGTTTGTCCATTGCTCTGGGGATGAAACCCTGAAGATAGACTGACAGTCGCCCCCAGTAACCTACAGAACTCCTGCCAAAATTTGGACACAAACTGGGGACCCCTGTCAGAGACCACGTCTATCGGGAGGCCATGAAGTCGAAAGACGTGATTTATGACAGTTACCGCTGTCTCCTTGGCTGAGGGTAATTTGGGCAAGGGAATGAAATGAGCCGCCTTCGAGAACCGGTCCACGACCGTCAAAACGACAGTCTTACCCTGGGAGGGCGGGAGGGCGGTAACAAAATCTAGAGCGATATGGGACCAGGGTCTCGAAGGGACTGACAACGGTTGGAGTAACCCATCTGGAGGTCGATTGGAAGTCTTACCAGTGGCGCAAACCGAGCAAGCCAAAACAAAATTGCGGATGTCACGAGCCATCATGGGCCACCAGAATCGTTGTCTGACCAAAAAACTGGTGCGGTTAACTCCTGGATGACACGCTATGCTGGAAGAATGTCCCCACTGAATAACTTCGGACCGATTCCCCTCTGGCACAAATAAACGGTTCGGTGGACACTCGGGCGGAGGCGTTACCCCTTCTAAGGCCGATAAGACCCTCGATTCGACCTCCCACCTGAGAGCGGAGACTACTATAGACTCTGGTAAAATACGCTCGGGAGTAGACGGGCGTTCGGTCTGATCAAAAATACGAGATAATGAGTCGGGCTTGATGTTTTTGGAGCCCGGGCGGTACGAGAGAGAAAAGTCAAAACGTCCGAAAAACAGTGCCCACCGAGCCTGCCTAGAGTTGAGTCTTTTAGCAGTTCTAATGTATTCTAGATTCTTGTGATCAGTCCAAACAATAAAAGGTACCCCTGACCCTTCTAGCCAGTGACGCCATTCCTCCAGCGCTAACTTGACTGCCAGCAACTCTCTGTTACCTATGTCATAATTGCGTTCGGCAGGAGATAAACGATGGGACAAAAACGCGCAAGGATGCATCTTGTCGTCTGAGGAAGAGCGTTGGGAAAGAACTGCTCCTACCCCCACCTCTGACGCGTCGACCTCCACCACGAACTGACGTGATGGATCAGGGGCGACAAGAATGGGAGCTGAAACGAAGCGGCTCTTGAGTTTAACGAATACAGCCTCAGCTGTATCGGACCACCTGAACGTCGTTCTGGGGGAGGTCAAGGCAGTCAGAGGTGCGGCTAGCTGGCTGTAGTTGCGAATAAAACGCCGATAGAAATTGGCGAACCCCAGAAACCTCAGTAGGGCCTTACGGGAATCTGGACTTGGCCAATCTATCACAGCCTTAACCTTGTCAGGATCCATACGCATTCCCTCAGACGAAACGATGTGACCTAGGAAAGGAACAGACTGTGCATGAAAAACGCATTTCTCCGCCTTGACAAAAAGCCCATTCTCTAGCAACCTCCGAAGCACTCGTCTGACGTGCTGAACATGCTCCTGGAGAGAAGATGAAAAAATCAATATGTCATCCAGGTAAACATATATGAACTGGTCAACCATATCTCTCAGCACGTCATTGACGAGTGCCTGGAAGACCGCCGGGGAGTTGGACAGCCCGAACGGCATGACCAAATATTCAAAGTGCCCCCTAGGGGTATTAAATGCGGTCTTCCACTCATCACCCCTCCTTATGCGGACCAAATGATATGCATTACGTAAATCCAGTTTTGTGAAGATGGATGCTCCCTGCAACCTCTCGAAAGCTGAAGACATCAACGGCAAAGGATAAGTATTCTTTACCGTGATGTTGTTCAACCCTCGGTAATCAATACAAGGTCGCAAGGATCCATCCTTCTTCCCCACAAAAAAGAACCCCGCCCCTGCTGGAGATGAGGAAGGGCGAATGAACTTGGATGCTAGAGAATCAGAAATATATTTCTCCATAGCCTCCCTCTCTGGTACAGAAAGTGAATATAACTTGCCCTTAGGCGGAGACTCACCTGACACTAAGTCTATGGCACAGTCGTAAGGACGATGCGGAGGTAGAGAAGCAGCACGAGACTTACTGAACACTTCTCTCAGGTCTTGGTACTCCTCGGGCACGTTTGACAAATTCACTTCCTCCTCCTGGAACACAGAAACAGGTACAGACGTACACGCAGATACGAGACAAGACTCATGACACTTATTACTCCAAGCGGACACAGAATTCTGGCCCCAATCAATTCTCGGGTTGTGCAGTGTAAGCCAGGGGTGCCCGAGAACCACTGGTGCAATGGGTGAATCCATGAGGAAAAATGTGATAGTTTCAGTGTGGTTGCCAGATGTAGTGAGTGTAATGGGTTCAGAAACATGGGAAATGTTAGGGAGCTCTTGACCATTGAGTGCGTTGACGGATATCTTGTGATGGAGTGGGGAAATGGGGATGAGAAGCTGCTTAGCTAGTCTAATGTCCAAAAAATTACCTTCTGCCCCAGAGTCCAGTAAAGCCTTGGTGTCGTGAAAGTGAGTAGCCCACCTGAGCCTTACCGGGAGGAGAGTAGATGATGAGGTCTTCTCGGCGGAGATCCCACCCGATAGTAGCCTCACTGTTACTATCGGGCTTGCTCTTTTACCGGGCACGAATGGATGAAGTGCCCCGATTTACCGCAGTAGAGACACAGTCCTTGGGATCTCCGCCTTTCTCTCTCCTCCCGGGAAAGCCGAGCTCTGCCCACCTGCATGGGCTCGTGATCGGTGACGGGGCTGACCGTGTCCTCGCTTAAGGCGCGTGCCCTCTCCGTGCTGACGAAATGACGATTCTGGACGACCCGACTCCTCCTGCTCAGCCGAGCATCAACCCGAAGAGCCAACTCAATGAGTCCATTAAGTCTCGCGGGTAAATCCAACATGTAAATCTCATTTTGGACACGGTCAGCCAACCCATGCAGGAAATGGTCCCACTGCGCCTCCTCGTTCCATTGGCACTCTGCGGCCAAGGTGCGGAATTGGATGGAATACTCCGACACCGAGCGGTCTCCCTGGCGTAGATCGGCGAGTAGTCTGGCCGCCTCCCTACCCGCCACAGCCCGATCGAAAACTCTCTTCATCTCCTCCGAGAGTGCCAGGAACGAGGCGCAGCATGGATCTCGGTTCTCCCACACCGCCGTTCCCCAGAGTGCAGCCTTTCCAGACAGCAGGGTTAGTACAAACGCCACCTTGGATTGTTCCTGAGCGAACGTCCGCGGCTGTAACGAAAAGTGCATAGAGCATCTGGTCAAAAATGCTCTGCAATACTCGGGCTCACCTGCATATCCCTCGGGTGTGGGTAAGCGAGGCTCGCGAAGACTCAGATCCTGTGGGGGTGTGGGCTGAACGGGCGGTGTGGGTGGCGCAGTGGGAACTCTAAGATGTTGTAGCTGTTGGGTGAGCTCGGACACCTGCGCCACAAGTGCTTGAACCGCTCGACCCATGTTCTCAATGCCCTCCTCTTGTTGGTCCATCCTCGCGATGCTGTTGGCAGCGAAGTTGTCCCAGTTTGATGCGCTTGCTGCATCCATTGAGGTCAGATCATTCTGTGACATTTCAGAACGACACTGGATGCAATTGCAAATAACGCTTTATTAAAGATCACAATGATAGGTTGGTCAGAACAGACACAAAGAGGGTCGAGACGGCACAACACAGATGGAACAGTGGCGCAGGGACCCAGGTGAGCTGATGGTGCAGGTGCCGGTGATAATCCTCCGTGAAGGTGCTCGGTGATCCCGTGGTGAGTATCCGTGACTGCTTGTGGAAGTCCCGTGAAGACAATCCAGAGAACACGTAACGAGATACACAATCCACACCGGGAACGACAGCACGAGGAACAGGAATACCACTCAGCGACGACGACACGAAGAACAGGAATCCACTCATACACAGGGGCACGAGGAACAGGAACACACCAGAGACGAACAATGATCTGACAACATGAGACACCAGTTACTGAGCATATAAAGCCACATACAAAGTGAAACCAGCTGGCGCTGCTGATCAGAAGTGATCAGTGACCACGCCCACACTAAACACACACACAGCACACAAGACGAGAGAGAGAAAGTTAATTGATCAAACGTGACAGTGTTACCTAGAATTCTACTGCATGAAATTTGAAGTTATGCTATTCTGTATTGCCCTTGTTCAAAACAAACAAACAAATAAATAAAACATTTGTAGCAAATTTAAGTCTATACTGATTTTGTGGAATTTGTTGCTCCAGTAGAATTACATTAATTTGGAAGTGCTACAACCACACTTTTCATGGTTAGACATGATGTGTCTAGTTTTTTGACATGTTGATGAAAAGCTTCTATGGATGTTGTCAAATTAAACAAGAGAACCTGCTGTTTCAGTTATTTAATACCATCAAATAGCATGAGTGCAAATCAAACTATAAATCATATATGACATTTTTACTTTCTTTCCCCTAATTTTTTTCCATTACCATTTTTTAGAATTTCAGTTATGACAGTGATTTCACCCCTGTAGCTCACTTTTAATTGGTTAAAACGATGGTGTTACAGCCCTCCCTGGGTCTCGCACTGCTTCCACAATTTAGTGCAATTTTGAGTTGTCACCTTTTTATAAAGAAAGGCGTGCAGTAATTATGTGTGAATCAGGCTTAATTGGGCAATCTAAATTCTAATCTATTTAAAATTAGCACAGGCTTATTGGTTTATTCCTCAGTTATTTGGTTGGCACTGCCCACAGCCAACATTTTTTTAATTTGAATGAAGGGTTAACATATATCACAGTTTTATTTAAATGTAACATTTGTATCAAATGTGTTATGATTTAATTTAACTTTAAACTTTCAGATGTTTGTTCTTAAAGTCACCATTTATGGGTGCACATCTTTGTTTTTTTTTTGTTTTTTAAATAATGTGCCCTCATAAACTTGAATCAAAATAACTTCCTCTCCTTGCAAATGGGGTCTTTTCTCTGATGACCTGCTGTTACTGGCTTGAGGGCCGCAGACTTGTTCGACTTGAAACGGCGCTGCACGGACCGATCGGTTTGTGACATCAAAGTACCGAGAGAGCGATTCAAAACCATAAGGAGCTGTCTACTCTCTATTCGCTCGCGGTACTTTGATGTCATTCACCGATCGGTCTGTGCAGCGCCGGTTCAAGTCAAACAAGCCTAAACTGTCACTCACATATCACAGCAATAGTAAACCAATGATCCATCGAACCAAAAATTCCCGATGGACATGGCATGGACATGAATAAAGTCCTTCCCTATATGTTTTCTTGTTCGAGAAGCTGTTTCATTTGTAGGCTATGTTAAAAGACTAACACAACTTCTATTTTATAAAAACTTTAATCAAAATAACTTTTTTCAAGCTCTTGCACATGCTTCTCTGATGATGACGTGTTTATTGGCGCGAGGGCGGGACACCAGTTTAGGCATGTCATGAGATCGCAGCAATCGCAAATGACAAGGATCCAATAAATTCCCGATGTAAAAAATCAGTCCAGTTCTACATTTTTTTTTTTTTGTTCAAGAAGCCGTTTCACTCAGATGTTGCAAAAGAAAGAAAATACTTTCATGACGACTTTACAACAGATAGTTAAACAAACAATTTTCTAAAGGGCTGCATAGGCCTGTTTAATTTTTAAGTTCTTATAATATTCCTATTTTAATATTAGGATTTAAAAAATGATATTTAAGATGAAGCAATCTTCTCTAATACTATTGTCAATGAAGTGACTGCGGACCTGACTGACTCTGAGACCATGCGGAAAAGTCATATGAGCGCCTCTCAGAGTCGAACAGCAGTAGCTCGAGCTCAGAAGTATCGACACAGGCTTCAGAGGTGGACACGCTCGGTCCTTCTAGATGACAGACCTAACGTAAACATACCTTTTCTGTCTCTTTATCATCTCAACACACAGTCATTTCGTCTCCTTGGAAGCCTGGAGAAGAAGAATGACCGACGAAGGAATGTTAATCTCACCGTCGGCTCTCCAGGATCCCGGAGATGGAGCGAAAACTGAAGACATCAGTATGGATTGTACGGACGTGGAAGATGAATTGTGTTTGGAGGAGATTTTAACACTGTACAGTCAACCGATCAACGAGGAGCAAGCCTGGGCCGTGTGTTATCAGTGCTGCAGGTGGTTAACTCAAAAACAGAGACGGAAAGAGAAAGGTGTGAGTCCACCTGGACGGATTGCGGGTCCTGGAGATGTGAGGATCCGGAAGGACGGGACTGTTAAATTGTATCAACAGAGCAGTCCAGGTAAATCATAATGTTTACTTGAGAAGTCAAAGTAAATGCGCAGTAAATGGCGCAGCATGAAGCCAACTGAACAGCAATAGCATGATGCGTTATTATTTACAAAGCAGCTAAATATAAGCGATATTATGATTAATGGAGGCCATTTTAATTATTTAGACAGATTTAGGGATGTACCTAGACTAACACCTCAATTCTAACTGTATCCATCATTTTACCTGTTTTATTCGAAAGTTTAAATATAGGCCGATATTTGCATATATAAATATTATATGCTTTGATTTGATTTTGATTTATTATCTCATTCATTGCAATACAAACCATTTACTCTGTAATACCGGTTATATCGTATCGACCATCGAGCCATTGTAAACAATGGGGCCATGTGATGGATTCATCCATAGGCACCTTTAGGCATGGGGCAACAAAAGGGACCTGATCTTTGGCCTAGTGCTCCTGTGATATGCATACTTACCATATTGATCCAACATTTAGGTGTATTTATGTATTGTTCAGGATGCACAATTACAACATTTAATATGTTAAATGTTGCTAGGTCAATAGGCCTACATCTGATTTTATACTCTCACTCATATTTAGCACATTGAATGTTCTAGGGCTAATAATATTAATCAATTGTAAATTAAAATATACAATCAGATTAACCGCAATATATTTCAAATCAATACATTTGAGGATAAATATAGTATAGTGCTTTGAATAATAACTGTTTTCTATTAACCAAAAATTAATCAAATTTGAGAGAGGGATTTCTCAGACAGAAGTAGTATAATTAAATTCTCAGCCATTATCTCATTTGGGTTCTTTCGCCTGAGGCTTTTGGATTTGGCTTCGGCTTCCATCTCTGTTTCTCCTTTGGGAGTTAATCTGACTGCCGTTCATAAGTATAATTATTGGGATGAATGTCTCAATCCTTCCACCTCCCTAACAAGGATTTAGACGTGGGGTTCAGCAGTTATTTTAGTTTTTTTTTATGTTTTAAATGGCAGGTACCTTAATCTAAAAGACATTTCCCTAGATGTCTCCTGCTTATTCTCATTAAAATAGAGTACTAGCCTGTGACTGACCTGCATTTACCAACATATAGTCCATGCCCATGTATATACAACCTTTTATTATGGTTGTTAAGAACAAGCATAAGTCTTCTGCCTTAAGTATAGAAGTGTGTATAGTGCCAAATGCCAAGCAAGTAAGATCATATGGTCCTTTATACCAGGCAGGAAAATCAATGCTTATGTAACATGACGGTCTGCTGAATTCTGCTCTCCTGGGGAAGTTTGCTGTCCTGGCAAATGTGGGTACGTTCAAATTACGCTGACTGACCAATGATATCAGACTGTGAACCTGCCAGTTTCAGTCATGATCTATCCCCGATGAATAGATCTGTCTCTCAAATTGAATAAAACAGTTTTAGAGCCGAGATATGATTTGTAAAAAAAGAAAAGAAAAGAAAAGAAAAAAGTCTCGTCTCCAAGCTCCAGACAATGCTTCATTGATGTTTATGTCTCCTTTTTCTGTTTTCTCTGCTTGCTAAAGCCATATAGTGATTCAGTTGTTACAGCCCTGGAAACAGAATGTATCCCAACTAGAAAAATGAAATATGGTAGTGTAGATCTGAAGCTCCTGAGAAGCCTAACTCAAACATATAGGTTAATCTGAGATAGATAAAGCTTTCACTCTCTGTCCTTACAAGGTGTTGGGATTGCATCAAATGCATTAGAATATTGTGCAGATTTGTCACAGATGTTGTTAGTATTGTCTACTGAAAAATATGAATATGCAAACATTACCATATGTAGTAATACTTTTTTTTTTTTATTAACTGCCCTACTCATCTCCTGAAAAATAAATGAATATATTTATTTAAATAAATAGTCATTTAAATAAATAGTCATAGTCACAGCTGGATGGGTTTATACCTTTGCCCTTTTGTCCCAATTTTAGTTTGTTACTGTCCTCCTGAGTCAAAACCCCTTGTGAATTGATTTCCATGTTAACCAGGTCACAATGTAAACGATGAATTATTTTCAGTGAAGATAATATTACAGTACTCATCTGTTTCATACAACAATGTAAATGGCATCCTATTGCACTAAGTACAAAAGAACCTCTTGAAAAATGCCTTCTTCCTGTCAGGATGGTGTATGTTCGACTCTATGTGGGTTTAAATTCAGACTTCTTTTGGAAATTTATTTTCAGTTATATTTGATTTTCAGTTGTTGAAAGTGGCCGTTGCAGTGACACTGGGTTCATTCATTAGTTGCAGCAGTGAACTCTGGGTCTCGGCCAATACCAGAGGAGGCTCTTTCTTTTAACACTGTAACATTATACCTCCAGTGCCACTAAAGGAAGGGCTAAAACAGACATTATGATTCTAAGCCCTTTGTAGTGTATCTCAGGCTCAACTGGCACTCAACTGGCATCTCTGTCTGACTCCTATAGATTTGTGTTAAATATTTAATGTGAAGGTTGTCTGAGGTGAACCCCTGGGTCCCTCTCTGTAATATAGAAATGGGGGAGGGGGCTTTTCATGGTCAATTTCACTTCTATTAAATGTATTCATGGTTGCAACCCATACACCACTTCTCTAGAAAGATGCTGGCCTTAGTGAGCATCATTATTAAACAGCATCTTTATTATTATTCCCTAACTAATTATCTCGTCCTGCATCATTTGTGCTTTGGAAATGAATCAAAATGGTCTTGTGCTAATTACTTTTTTCATTTTTGGCTGGTGTATGAAAAACGAGCAACAAAAACAAAACCCATAGACCCGCATTGATTGAAGGACCCGAGTCATATTATATTAGAGACTTGAGGGTGGGCTCTTTTGACCAATAAGAAACCATCCATATCAACCAATTAACCATCTAGCAATTTATTAGCAACCTCCGTGAACACCTTGGCAATACAATAGAGTGCAACAGTCGCCAATTCTGGAATTAAAAATCATGTTCATTTTCTTCATAGGGGAGCTGATTTTTAATGATAACCTATAAACCTTTAAAAACAGACCTACTGTAAGCTATGAGGTTGTTAATCGATTTATGTGCTTTTGTTAAAGCCATCAGCCTGCATTATTTCAGCTTATTTTTTAAAAATAATTGTGTTCAACAGCAGAATACCTGAGGAAAAACTACATTACCCATGATTCTTCAGAGAATCTCCACCAATCAGAGAATCAAAACAAACAATTTGCGCCAAAGAACTCTTTAGTGCCCGCCCACTTCCATGAGGCACTGCGAACAACATAATCTCCCCATGCTCTCAAACCACTTAAATATTTGTTTAGATATGCATATTTAGCAACAAATGTAAAACAAATGGTTTCTAAGTATACTTAGTCACCTAACTGCTTTATGTATTGGCAAGAACCCAAAAATGAAAAAAATCTAGTTCTAGATTATATCCTATTGTCAAGTTCATTGATATATCAGAAAATTGTAACGTACATGAAATGTAAATATTTTGAGTTATGTGATTTTAAAAAATGGATTCGTCAGAAATTATATATATTTGATTTGTTTCTCTTTCTTTTTTCTTTTCCCCATTACAGATAAACACATTGAACCGCCCAGTTCATCAATAGAGGTGAGTCATCTTATTTACTTTTGTTGAGGTGCCAGACTGGTTTTTGACTTTTGAGAAAAATGAGTCATTCTTTTGCTATATTTGGTAAAGGGCATCAGCTTTACAAACCACCTGGAGGAAAAAGCTAGTATTCGTCTTTGTATGTTTGGTTTCTGAAGGTTTCTAGGTGCAGTGTTTTTTGCTGACTCTGGTGGTCACTCTTCCCGTGGTGTGGATGTTTGCCAGCTAGATTTAGGTGCGAGTGGTTTTCAGGAGTATATGTGTCTGTGGGAACCTCATTGTCTTGATGGTATTCATTAGCTGTTAGTTCTTTGTTGGCGTGACAACTTTGTGGATCTCGGCCTGCCTCAAAGTTTCCCTAAAGCTCCCTGCCACTCTGGGAAGTAGCCAAAGCTTTGCTGTAATACATTTGGAAATAGTTTTCCCAAGCTTTTCAGCACCAAGAGATCTCATGCCGCCCGCCTCAGAACAGGGCAAGACATTTGCACGCCCTTCCTATTTAGTAAAGAAGACAGTGCTGTGCAAATAGGACTGTGTGTTATGCTAAAAAAATTGAAGTAACATTTGTTGGCTAAATGTGATCGATTTTAAAATGCCCTCAGAGTTAACAGATGGGTCCACAGAGGGGATTCGAACATGCAAGCATGCGCCCACACAGCCACACACGCACAGAGTTCCAAACAAAAAGAACACATGCGGCCATCTCTGAACGAGATTATCAACAGAGCACTAGACGGTAAACTCGTGACTGTGAATGGGAGGATATTCAAAGAGCAGAACAGCAGGGCCTTGCCTCCTCTGCACACAAACACTATCTTTTTTTCCAATAGAGTTGATACACATCAAAGATAAGACATTTTGTAAACATAAAACATTCATAGACCTTGTGACTTGGGCTGGCCGATATGGCCAAAAAAATGATCATGATAATATATTATGACTGTTTAAGTTAGGACTCTACTTTTATTACAATTAACCATAAAATTAACCATCATCCATTGTATCATACATTTAGATCATGATAACCATAGGTAAAACCACCCATATAGCACATCACTACTAAGGTAAAATCTATAGTTTCTATGCTATTTGTTATGAAAAACATTAGCCTAAATACATTTCTAGTATTAACACAAATGCTATAGCTTAATAACAAAAAATACTGTAATTACATTTCATTACTTCTTTAATACATGTCTACATTAATAATATAATAATTCTATATGAATATACCACATTTATGCCATGATACCTTGGTGCAGTTCAGGGGTGGAGTGGCTATGGAGCCGCTGTACAATGTGGGACAGCCAGTTAGTGTTACTAGTGTAAATCCATGGTAAATGATGATGATTTGTAGATTGAAAAGCCTTCTGACTGGAGTGTTCATGGCACAATGTTTCTCGTGTTTGTCAGTGCTGTTGAGAATGTCAGCGCTGATTCACCTGGTTTAAACTAGTTTAAATCACAGTCATACATGTTCTTTGCTGAATTCAAGCACTTGTCACTGGATCTCACAGATGTGATCGAGAACGATCAGTGAGTAAACGCATCTGCTCTATTAAGATGCAAGCGATTCAGATCAACCCCACAATTATTCGTTTTTTTCCCTCAGAATCGAGAAAAACTCGCAATTGCGAGAGTCAAATTCGGAGGAAAAAAAAGTCAGCTCGCAATTCCGATATTTTCTCGCAATTGCAAGTTTATAACTTGCAGTTCTGAGGGGAAAAAAGTCAGAATTGCAAGATAAAAAGTTGCTCTTACCTTTTTTTTTATTATTTTTTTTTATTCAGTGGCGAAAACAAGCTTCCATACTTTTGTTTAATTTGTATGGCTTCAGAAGGCTTTTATAGTGGTACTTCCTTTTTGAAGCTTAAAAACCTTTTGTGTTCCACAGAAAAAAGAAAGTCATACGGGTTTGGAACGACATGAGGGTGAGTAAATGATGACAGGATCTTCGCTTGTACATAATGTTTCATATGTACACTTGGTGAGATCAGAGCTTTAGGCGAAGGCGCCCTCCTCTTCATAAAGCCTACCCTGTCTTAGGGCAGTAATGAGAGGGTGTGTGTGCTCTGTTCTGCATGACTGCACCTCTCTCTCAGCGACCATGTGATGTTGCAGTATGCATGTTTAAGACCTCGCCCTCATGGCCAAGTTAAGCGAATGCCTCGACACTGACTGAACAAAGTATTCTGCTACTCGCCACAGACACGCCACATCCACAGGCCCCCTCTGGCTGTGTGTGTCTCAAACCAACTGCCCTGTCCGTCAGCGACTTAACAGTAGTGTTTTTGCATGAACATATCTCCTAAGGAATCTGTTTCAGACAGGCCACCTAAGGCATCATGTCACCCCTAATGGTCTACAACAGATTTAAGTGAGCTTCACATGAAAAAGTGACATTGCTTGTTTCTTAGTAAAAGAGTCCATGACTAATGTGAACATCCATGACATCCAAGATACAAGGAAAAATCTAGTTTAAAGCACGTCAAGTTCTTAGAATTATTATATTTTTTTTTCATGTATGTGGTTTTGTATTTGTTTGGCATTTTCAAGAAAAATTTAATGACTTTAATATTATGTGGTCGAACACACATAATCATTATGTAATCAAGTTTTGAAATATACCTCTTTTTTTCTTTTACAATTATCATCAATTATTTGTTTCATAAATATCACACAATTTTTAGGGATTCACAACACATGACATTGTATCAACTGAACAAACTCAAGCATGAAAAGATTCAATTATTTGACATTTTAAGAGAAACTAGGTACTCAGTAAGGTTTTCTTTTTAGAAATTTAATTCCTTGCTTTGTCTTCATTAGGACTGTCATCGCCCTAATATTTTTTACTTTGTCTAAAAAAATATCAAAATTAATTTTAATTTAAAAATGTAAAAACATAAAATAGGTGTATTTAAGTCATCTTATGCAAATGCATTTTTAATGAAATAATGAATATATAATTGAAATAATGGATTGGATAAAAAGAAGCCCTGTGCGGTGTATTATTTATTTACTATAATAGACTTTATTCATATTTTGAACTTTGAACAATTAACTTTGTTTATATTTTCAATTTTAATTTAAGTTTAAGTCAGTTTATGTTCTTTTGTTATTTTTATAAGTTATTTTTTAACGCTATTTAGCTTGAATTTATGTTTATTTCAGTTTTAGTAGTAATTTCAGTTTTTCTTTGTTTATATTTTATTTTAGCTTTATTTCAATTAATGAATGAAATAGTTTTAATAGTTTTTTGGTTTTAGTTAAAGCTGCCGTCGGCAACATTTTTTTGATCATATTCAGTGAAATCGACACTATAATCCGACAGAACAACATAAATAAAGTGGTTTTAGAAAAAACCCGAGCTTCTAACTCCACCTGGAGCGTGTTATTTGTTTTGCAATAATCCACAGCTCCCGGATCATCGGGTCCAATCAGCGCAGGGGGGTGTGAGATCTGACTGTCAATCACAGATCGGGCAATCACACGTTACAATCACATGCACACGCCGGACGTTCGCGCAGTAACAAAGAGTGATGGCGGATGTATCTCGCTTTCAAAACACTAACAAATCAAGTAAGCTCATTTAGAGTATAAATGACGTTAACAATTGCAATCTATCGGTAGATTAGCCAGGGCAGCAATACCTCCAAATACTCCATAGTGCATGGATGCTGATGAGCCGGGCGCGTTCACTGATAACCTGGTGCACACGCACTGACGAGCACGAACTCGGTGGGAGGGTATCCGTTGATAGTGGGGGAGGGGCATGAGAGTTGTAAACATTAAACATTTTGCTTAAGTCCACTCAATCTGCCAGACTTGCCGACTGCAGCTTTAACAACAACACTGGCCTTGTGTCATTCACCCAGATATCATAGGAAGTGAAGGTCACATCTGTTCTGGCTTTAAAAACCAATCAGATGGAGGCATCTTGGTAGGCAAGGTGTTATGCAACATTTTTCAGCTCTCAAGACAGCCATAATCTGTCTCTCAAAGATATTTGTCATTTTTTACCTTATCAATAAAGTTGTATCAAAATAGCGAATCATATCGATCCATGCCCAAAATGGTGTTGATTTTAGGAAGTGCTCTCGGTTGGGTTTCATCCGGCCCACTCTGGCCTTTGGCAGTTCTCTGGACAGATAGAGGCGAGCTGACCCAGTTTTTCCCCATTAACTCAGTACTATTGGCAGGACTCGATTGCTTTATAAATAGGAGAATAGTAATCACATTTAGATGCCTTGGCTTCTCACCAGGGTCTTTCAGCTAAAAACAAACCCACTCCATCAAAATCAGACTGGGTTTCCAAGTGCTTCCATTATGCACTGATGTGCATCTGCCAACTGATCATTAAAGCTTTTTTTGATCTACATGATCTGAAGGGTGAAAGACACAGTCCATTTTGACCAATAGGCATCTTGGCAGCTTAATGAAAACTTGTAAAGATCACCGTGTTTCCTTCGCCAAGGTGCACAGACAAAGAGGATTAGACCCAAGATCTAGTTCGGTGACTAAAGGGGGATTATCAGACCTCTTAATGAGAGTTTCTTCAAGCTGCGGGTCATACTACCTGTCTGTGGTTCTGGACTCGAAAGAGAGGCCACTGTTAGACAGGCTTTGGATGAGGAGGAATGTTGATGGTCTGTAAAACACCTGTTGAGACTCAAGTAAATTCCCATTACAACCTTCCCTTCAGTCTGAGTTTTTTTTAAAACAATTCACCTCTGAAATACCCCTCATCTCACTTTCGCTTTCTCTTTTTTTAGTTGTTGTGTGGGTTTGGGGAACTTGTTTGTTAGCTGTGAGCTTGATGCTCTCGTGGTTTATTCTCCGGAGGTTTTTTTATTCTTTGCACAAAGCCTGTTTCTTTCTCCTCGCTGCATAACTTTCCTTCCTCAGCTGACTGTGTGAGTGTGTCTGTGTGTAAGGATGAGGTAGAATGTTTGAGTACTTTGCCCCGGTCACACACAGCCTTGACGCACAACGTTATT